CCTGCAACTACTGTCCCGACGCTAGCTGCTATGACATTTCTGACAGACGCCTGCTCTTGTTCCTCGATAGACTTCCTAATCTTCCCGTTGTACATATCCACCCTTTAACGGCTATAATCCCAAACATCCTCACATGTTCGTTATTCAAACATCACCAATGGCATGATATCCCAGCCTCGATATAAACATCATCAAACAGCTCATCTTTAGGTCTGTTGGTGCTATTTGCTGAAAAAACGTACAAGGACATCTTGAGATCTTCTCCTAATTGAACACACCATGGATATCATGTAGTCCTTTAAGATCATCACAGTCTTCACCTCATCTGTATGAGACAGCTACTCTCACCGGATATCGATACTGATCTTTCTGGTTTATCTAAGCATATCGGCAATTTTGACTCTACCAAGTTGTTCATCTCCATAGTCCTTTCAAGCTTTACCAAACATCTTCGTTTTAGACTTATTCACCATCACTAGGTCCATCCAACTGTTCACCCAATCTCTGTACCTCCAAGCCATCACGAACATTCCCGTTCTTTCCGGTCTGTTCACCCTTGATCAAGGTCCTTCCATATGTTCACCTTACGGAAGATGTTTCCAGCTTGTAGACATCTTCAATTACCCAATGTCTTATTCACCTTATATATCGGCAGAGCACTCTAGACAGTGGCAGAACACTCCTCATATCAGAATGTTTAGGTGCTGTTTATGACAACATCTGCATTTTGGCTTGTGCATATATCACTTGGTAATACTCAACCAATACACATATTAGTAGAATTTGATTGTCTTTGTCATCTTCAAAACAACATAGGGGATTTTCCCAACAATCACCACATTGGTGATTTTCCCAACAATATTGGCTATAGGTGAGAAAATGTCATCATAATCAACATCATACGTCTGAGTATTGTCCTTTTCCAACCAATCGAGCCTTCAATCGATCAAGAGTGCCATCATGGTGAACCTTAATAGTGAAAACTCAACGACAATTAACAGGTTGTTTCCTCGCAGGTAAGGAGTGAGCTGTCAAGTACGATTCTTGACGAGCGCCTTCATTTCATCCTCCATGGCTTACCACCGTCCAGATGAGCAAGAGCTTCGGCAACACTGCTAAGCATAGAAATAGATGACAAGAACAAGTCAAATGTAGAGAAAATAGGGGATAAACGATCATATGACAAAAAAATGGAATTAGGATGACGAGTACGCAAACAATCAGAAAGACTAGAATAAGGAGCATAACGATCTACAGGACAACCAACACAAGAGCGTGTACCTTTTTGAGTAGTAATGGGCAGATCAGGTTTGGAGGATGGTGGAGCAACTAATGAGGGAACAAATGAATCATGTGTCGATGAAGGCTGTACTGCTGTAGTGGGAGCTGTACTACACCGATGATAGGTGCGATCAGCACACTGAAATCATGTGGATGGTACTAGAGGAAGCGAGAGTGGTGGAAGTGTCGGTAAGACACACCACCACCATTAGGAGTCGCCGTAAGGACCTTCTAAGAATTATAATACGGCCGGTCCTTAAATAATGTCACTTTCGCCGACACAAACACACAATGAGGAGTAGGACTATAACATTTGTAGCCCTTTTGACTTTGAGAGTATCCCACAAAGACAGGTTTCTCGGCACGGGGATCCAACTTATCAAGACTTGGAGTAAGATAATATACAAAACAAACGCAACCAAAGATGCGTAGAGGTAATGGAAAGGGAGGACGATTTGAATGTAAAATAGAGAATGGCGTCTCCCCTCGAAGAACAAAAGTTGGAAGCCGATTAATTAAGTAGCAACATGCAAGGATAGCATGGTCCCAAAAACATGTGAAGAATGAGGCAACTAGCAACATCAAGAAGATGATGATTTTTGCGCGTCTACACCATTTTGCTGTGGAGTAATATAGGAAGTTTGATGAATAATATCATGAGAATAAAAAAATGGTTGAAAACCAGAAGTGGTGGCAAGATACTCTTTAGCATTATCTAATCACAAAGTTTTCACAGAAGGATTCAACACTTCAAAATAGAATAGGCGAAAGCAATGAAAAATCTCAGTACGATCTTTTATTAAGAACAATCAAGTCATCTGGGAAAAATCATCCATGAATATAACAAAATATCTGAAACCAGAGATAGCAAAACACGACACGGATCCCATACATCTGATTGAACCAGCTCAAATGGACTAAACACACGACTCTGAATGCGATAAGGAAAAGACACCCTATGGTGTTTACTAAACTGACAAGCTTCACACTAAAAGGAACTCACAGACTCAGACTTAGACTCAGGAAATAAACGCCGAAGATTGTTCGGCATTGAACAATTTAGTTGACAGACTCAGACTCATGAAAAACACAACGAGAAGAGGAAAAGGTCACTGAATAATTTAGTTGACAGAAATAAACTTAAATGGAGATTTAAGATGATAGATAGATAACAAAGAAAGAGAGGGACTCAAATGAGCAACTCCAGCACTAGTAATCTAAGATTGTGAGCCATCAACAAATGTAACAGAATCTGACACCCCAAGAGATGTGGAATGAAATGAAGACAACAACTTAGAGTTACCAGTTATATGATGAGTAGCTTCAGATTCTATAACCTAGGAGTCGAACGTTGCAAAAAGTAAAGAGGATGAACTACCTTCTGAGGTTTGTGCCAAATTTGTAGTAGAAGCTGAAGAACCTGGCACTTAGTGGGCGAACCAATGTATCGTACTCAGCACGTGTCAATGTAAAAGAATCACCTGTATTATGCACACTAGTAGAATATGGTGGAGCCGGTGAAGGGGGAATCTTCCACCTCTGCATTGGCAGCAAAAGTAGGTTGGAGGTCGAGACAAAGAGTGTAGCAATAACCCTTTGTATGTCTAGCCCTTTAACAATGATTACAATAGCGGGAGCCACAACTACCAATACCTCCATCACGGCCTCCATGACCTCCACTCTGAGCAAAACCACGTCCATGACCCCAGTAACCATGACCACTGGCTCCACATCCACTAGAGCCATGAGAAATCATAGCACTTGTCTATAAAGCCGTGGTGGAGATCTTTTTAAGAAGTGTCGAATGAAGAGCTCGGGAAAAAACTTCATCCATTGTAGGAAGGGAGCTTTGAGATGTAACGTGCTGACACAGGGAGGAATATTCAAGGCCCAATACCTTGAGAAACAGTATCACTCGAATGATCTCTTGGCGTTTAACTAGAATAGTCGGATCGTCCAAAATTGGAAGATAAGTATCCAATTGCCGGCAAAGTGTTATGAAACGAGCATAACACTCACATAAAGATTGATCTTTACGCTGAAGATCAAATAGTGCCTCTCACGTGTCACATACTCGTGTCATTATTCAGTCTAGAATAAAGTAAGGCACACTTTCCCCAAACTTCCTTAGCAAAGTTGCACTGAATGAAGTGAGGACTAAATTTAGAATCCATACTATTCCATAAAAGACTACAGTTCAGTGCATTTCTAGCAATCCAATTAGCTGCCTTCCTTTGATCTAAGGGGACCGTAGATGTATGTTTGGTGGTAGTAAGACAAACTTCGACTAGACTAAGATGGATAATTAGTTCCATCCAAATTGACAAAGGTCCATTGAAAACGTGTCAAACCAGCAGAGGGTCCAATAACAGCCATCAATGAACAAAGGATACGATTGAACCCAAGAACAACGTCACAATAACCAATCATCCACAAATTTATCCCCGCAAGTGATGGTTCAATCGAATCACCACTAATCACAATAATTTATCAAAAACTCATAAAATCATCGAATTGGGATTGAAGAATTACTGTTGACCATCCAACACTTCAAGGATCAATAGACTGCAACAAGAAACCATGTGAGAGCATTGGACAAGATCTTTTTTTTTAAGCTTCGCTTCAAACCCTAGTAGTCAAACCATAGTTTCGACCAAGGTTACTTCAACACAATTTACAGTGTCAATCGAAAGAGGGCTGAGTAGTTGAAACCCTATATTGCAATGGCAGCTTCCAAAACCCTATGACAAGAAGTCACATAGCAAGTTGACTCAATTGCGATGAATCGAGGCTCAGCTGAGTTGACCGACGATGGACAAGACCGAATCGAGGCTTGGAAGGGATCGCAGGCCTGTAACTAGATGGAGGAGATGGCGGAAGCGATTGGGTCACGAGAATCACACACTAGGGTTCGGCGGTTGCTCCGGTGACCTCAAGGGGTAAGAGTTTTCTGTAGGCACCGATACCATGTTTAAGGAGATGAACAAAGGGATTATAAGAATATATATACGAGCAAACCCTCTAACTATAAAATGACTATTCCACCCTCACTAACATATTTCCTAACAGAGAATCAAACTGGAACGCACTGAACAAGTGCATGAATCACACTAACTATTCGAGGTAAAACATACAAAAAGCGGTATTTACTTGGGAGCACCAAGCAAGAGCGGACATCCGCAGCTCAGACAACTTCAAGTGTTCATGAGATTGATATACCCTGGGTTTCTGCAAAGACCTTAAGACAACCTCTTGACATAAATCCCAAAAAAAGTAGAGGCAAAGATCAGTAATCAGTTGACCACAACCGACAGAATCCATTATTGTTATATGATCGAGAAACAGTAGAAATGGACAATTCTTATGAGTCAGTGGAGCCAAAAAATTTTTGCACTTTCATAGGGAAAGAACAGACTACTCTTCGCGTCTTTTTCGCTTTAAAGTAAAACTCTGCACCATCCTTTCATGACGAGCTCATCTAAAGATGCATCGACCAAAGATTGATATCTAGACCGGGAGCCAACACATGGGAACCTTTTCCCTTTTGCTCAGAACAAAAACAGATCTCCTTGATGAGTAAGGTTAAGGGATGCCGATATCTTGCCAATTCTTTTTCCCAGAAGATAACTGCAAAAGCATCCGCATGGTCTCATCATATTGCAGTGCTGATTTCCCAACAATTAGATTGGAGCTCATAGGATAGAAACCACAATACTATCTAAATTGAAAATTTCTTCTTGCTCATATCATAGCACAGTAACAATCTCAATGCAGCTCCACCAATGCACCGTCTAATTAATTTTGATTTGATTACACATCCCTGCCCCTAAAGGTTCACCCAGAAAAAAGGCTGCTCATACACAAAATAGATACCTTAGCCACATGGCCACAAAAAGATGCCAGCACCACAGTAGTACAACAGCAAGCTTCATTTTGATACAAACCCACAATTACTTGGTCAGCTAGGTCACCAATACAACCCAATTCGAAGAGCCATTTATCCAGACTCCCGAATAGGAAATCCATGGGAAGCCAATTCGCAAGAAAATGTACCATAAGAACTGGGTGTGCTTCAATTAGATCAACCTACAGGCAACAAGAAAGACAATCTTATATCCACTACAAGCCTAGAAAAGAACAAATGAAGCCATAAAATTCTAACTCACAGCCTATATAGCTAGCTTTATGCTACTTTTAGTAAACTTAAGATAGTGAATTATAAGCAGGGAAAAGTAATCTATCATTACCATCAAATAGAGTACGCTTTAGTTTTGCATAACCAGCCGCACTATAATTACTGCCTTCTACAGTTCCACTGCAAATCACGTTATCGACGACTTACAGACAGGGCAAGACGTACTTCTGCGGAGCCAGGGATCAATACACTGCCGAATGAAGTAAAAAAGTTGTCAGACATGTTAAAGCTCCCTCAAAAAGAAATCTATGTCACAATTGAATGAAGCACTCACATCTTTATGAAATTTGTGCAAGCAAGGAAGGTGCCGTATTGTATCCCCAATTGTGGGGGTGTCCAGACATATTGCGCAGGCTTCTTCAAAGACATCGGTCTGCGAGAAACATAAATGAATGCTTAAAAAATGGCAGATAATACTTAAAGCAAAAACGCTATCCCACCCCCAAGACACCCCTCCTACCAAATTACAAATAGAACTTCCCTGTATATAAAAATATTCACCTGCACTTTTGACTCCGGCAAACTATTAATCTGATTATCAGAGGTGCCAACATTACGGTTGTTCTCATCAAGTGCCAGCAGCATTTCATAGTCATATCTGCACGACAACAAAAGACCCCATAGTTATTATTATGTGCTTTATAAGAAAGTTTTCTGGTCCAAGTGAAAGCCAGAATCATGTGCAGTGGTACCATATGAAACCTCAGAAAGAATGAAAATCAGTTCTAAATAACAAATGAAGATCCGAAAATTACATAATCACAAAATCCTCAGAACACATCATTAGACTGTTTAAAAAGCAATATCATGCCAATTCAGGCAAGTGAAGTGAAAAATTCACTTCAAAAGTTTATGGGGTACATCTTTCTGAGATGTGCTAACAACGAGGAGCATGATGGTCACTGAATATGCCCAACTACAAGGTGCATGTCCAGTGCAGGCTGCTAATTCTTTCCATGGCGTCAGGAAGCTCGGATGACTAACTCAAATTGGCCATATAGCAACCCTTGTCCCTGGCTCCCAAATTTAATTCAACCTCTCACAAATTCAACTCTAGATACCCAACACCCTCCAACCTCATTGACTGTAGAGTTAAATATATGCGCATTACAGCAGTTTGCTACGTGCTTCCAACATGGCATTCGGCAATTTATTCGAGTTCACTTAACAACAATTTTTTAACATCCCCGTAACCATAGATATCTAGAAGAACAAGAAAAATCTGTCTAAAAAAAATGGACAAACTCTTTTATCAGTATCATCGTCCAAAGTAATATCTTTGACAAGAACGAAAGGTCAATCAAAAGAAAGACAGATTGCTGCCTGCCAGATACATAACATATATAAATTAAGAATTTAACAATTGATGACCAATATAACTACAATAAGCTTACACAGTGAGAAAGCTCAGTAGGTGATCTTTGACATATCCACATACCGCTTTATTCTACAGATGGACTAAGCACAAACATCAATGCAAATAACTGCACCTCTACTATTTCTTAAGAAAGTGTATTAAAAAGAACTGGCTTTATTGTGTCTTAAATTCATCCATTTATATTTCCGTGTTAAGCAAAAAACTTTAGGAAAATTTTCACATTACTTCAGTCAAACATACTTGTCTTCCAGGTGAAAAGGATCAATTTTCCTACAATACCAATCACAGAAAGAAACCAAGTTCAGGCAGCACTTATGATAGTATGAAAATAACCTGATGCACAGCATCTAACACAAGCAATGGCGAAGCCTGGACCTAAGTATACAATCTTGATTAAGTAAGCACTTGCATAAACGAGATGTTCAGTCAAAAACCACAAATAACCAATCTGAAGACTGAGATGCCAAAGATACACAAAAAATCAACCGCCGACTTTAAATAACAAATAGCATGAAAGTCCACGTCAGTGAATAAATAGATAGAGATCTTACTCATTAAAATCACGCTGAGTTTGAAAAATGCTACTGGATAATCCTATGTCACTGACGTCTCCCAATGCAGCTTCCAGTGCTTCCAACATATCCATCCTCTATAAATCAAAGGCCAATTTTCAATTAGCCGTGACAAACTCAGCCTATGTAAAACAGCCAGCAGGCAAACATAACCAGATCACAAACTGGACAAAAAGAACCTCTTCCAAAGAAATAAACTATATCATGCCATCAGAATTTGCAGTGCAACCAACACAGATTGACAATTGACAGATTCAATCAAATAAATGAAGTGAAAAGAACAGATACCGAAGACATAAATCAAATATCCCCCACCCCATGACTCACATTCCATATTTATGTCTTTCAACAAACCAACAACCCGAACCGAAACCCAATTGACATTGTGAGTAACAACATGATTTAGCAATGGGAAGTGAAAACCATTAAAGCCAGTAAAGTATTCATGTCTAAGTTAACTTCCCGACTTTCCTAAGGGAGGTTCAAAAGGTTGGGATTGCTTTTCTTTCAGAAGTTGCGTTTGGCTTGGTCTAGTTCCATAATTGATAGAGATTCCCATCGGTATGGGAAGGCCACTCTATTCATCACATGTCATTCGCATTAGTAACATAATTATCTAAACATCAGATGTATCTTCATAGGATCAAATGTCACTGCTTACAAGGGAAGATACAAGAAAAGAAACTTAAAAAATTTTATAAAGACACAGGAGTTACCATGTCGAGATCCATATTTAATGGAAAATGAAGAGACCTCTCCCCAGATATAAATGAAGAGGGCGATCTAGAAATGGGCCTCCTAGACTGCTGAAGTCTTGCACGCACAGGAACTCGTGTCTCGGTACCTCTCCTATTTGAAAGGTTTTGAAAAGACCGTGGCAGGGGTTGCCTTCGTGAACGTGTTTGGATTGAATTTCCCTGCAGACATACAAGAAAACAATGATCTTTCATAGTATCAACATTTCATTGCCAAGTAGATGCAACTCTAGAAGTTAAAAGATCATATGAATTGCCAGATTAACATATCATTCAATCCATTTCACTCAATTTTGTCCAAGCTCAACATGCTTGAATAAGCTCAGGATTCTCAAAACTAAGCCATTTCCTAGATTGAACATTTCACTTAATAAGCTTAAGTGTACTTTAATTTAAAGAAAAAAAGACAATTGTTACAAATAGAGGGCACTCCAAACTAGAGATCGTATCAGTAATCTACATAGAGCCAACAGCCCTCAGGTAACGCATGCATTGGATAGATCAATATCGGGAGAGCCAATCTCCTGAAATGAAGTTATTTCCTAAGTACCAAATAGTTAGCATGGCAATAGTTCTTTTCGTAAAAGAAAAATTGGAGATGCAACTCTGAGGCATTAAGTCAAAAGAAGCTCCATATGACAAATTAATTATTCTCAACTCTCTGAGGTAATTCTCAAATTGACATAGCTCCACCAAGCATTGGAATATCTTCATGCATATAGCAGAAGCTAAGCATCCAATCAAGTGTAAGTTTCAGAAAACCAAGAGTCACAGGAAAGACCATAGTTGGCACTTAAATTGAGGAGAGACATAAAGTTGTAACATACTTTTTCCTCTTCTTTGGAAAAAAAGAGGTCTCCACACCTTTACTGGTGCAATCATAACCAATCAAACTGATTCGACTTATCTTAAAATTTCTAAGCATAGCTTTACTAGTTGGCTTGCTATACACAATAGACTATCAAAATAATCAAGTGAAAGCTTGATACCAAGCCTTTCCGTGTTTTACCAATTGAGTGATGACAACAGATCATCTTTTCTTTGGTTGTCATTTTATTAAGAGAGTAGCAGGCTGGAATCAGGAGTTTGATTTGGGTTGCAGAACATCTTAAAGGGAAAGCTTTGCCTACTTTGATACTTACACTAGCTTGTTGTGCCAATCTCTATCACATATGGGCTGTAACGAATAAAAGAATTGATGACGTAACATTTGTCATAATATAAATACAATCTTTTAGTCGATTGTATGTGATGCAAACAGATTGTCATCCAATGATATCGGAATGATAACTAGCTCAAATATAAGATCTTTGGTTGTTAAATGTGGAACGAATGTGGAACTATGGCTGATGTAAGGTATTCATAGTTTGTCATATTGCAGGATGCAATCCACCCTGCCTCTTGGATGATTGACGTTTTTTACTTACCCCCCAAAGGAGAAAAGAATGGCACCTCTACTTGAATGAGCAACGAAGAAAAGATTGAACTTTACGATTGCACTTACATGACCAGTTCGACGACGACTTCTAACAGAAGTAGATGAATTTCCACCTACATTCCCCTCCTGCTGTAGTAATCTAGCCAGGTATTCATCCATCTGCTCAAATGCCGACAAACAATTTATAAGCTAAAAACATACAAGCTACAATCTCAACATTAGATAAACAATAGCACAACCTCCTCATTTCCAAGCATCGGTGAATCATTATACAGTTGTTCTTGAAGTTCACGAGCCAGCATCTCGTCTGCTTCCAGTTGTCTCGCCCTAGAATCTGACTCAAAACTGTTGAGAGTATCTAGAATAGTACCACCAGATTGACTCATTCCAGGTGAAGTGTCATCAATTTCAATAACTGAAGAAGAAGCTCCTTGATATTGACGCCTATGTTGTCTAGCAGATGATGGATTTCTAGAATCCCCGGGAGAGACCAGGTTGATAATTTCTGAGTTATTGGAAACTAATCTGTTGCAAGAATTGCCATTCCCAAAAGATACTTCCCTCTTGTTTTGCCTTCTAGTGGAACTTCTTGTAGAACTTGGCCATCCATGTGTTTGGCCTACCTCAGAAACAATATCAGAATTCTTGTTTGCAAAATTGCCACAACTACTGCTGTTATGAGGATAGCTGCTTGTTCTTTTCCCCATCATATTATCACGGTTCTGGAATAAGTTTCCAGCACTATCAGTTCCCCCAGAAAGCAAAACGTCAGCTTCAGAGCCATGGCGTGCTTTCTTAGTATGGGCATGTGTAGTTCTCCATCCACCAAATCTCTCACATTGTTCATCCAAATTAACAGTGGTGTCATTTGTTCCCTTATCCTCCCCACGAATAATAGGTCTCCTGCACAGTGACCAACCATGTGAGTTGACAGTCTGCAAATAAAGAGCTGACAAAATGGATGACATCTAATTCGCCCATTGAGACTCTTGGGGTCAATAAGAAAGCAACACAAGTTCATTTATTCTAAACTAGACCAGTTCTTCAAATTAATTGCAGCAAAACCTCTTTAAATATCAGTCCATGCAACCAAATATGGTCTTCATGCAAAAGAGATTTTTCCATTGCTTGAAACCCAAACACATAGAGAAGTCTGCCAAAAGCACAGGTATGTTTATCATACCCAACAATTCGTTTTCAGAATGTTCATGATTGTCAGAGATATACGGTCAGTATGAACAAAAAAACTCTTCCTCCGGGAATTCTCTATAAGAAAGATGCAACAGTTGCAGATTTAGCCCTAACACTAGCATTGAGGAATTTATAGACGCAAATTGTACCCATTTAGGAAGGTAAAATGGTTAAAAAGGTTATGCATAAGGAGACTAGAAAAAATGTCGCATCTACAATGCAAAGCAAGATTATCATCTAGACAATTGAATATCATTGGAAAATATAACATATTCAAGTTTCTTAATGCAATTCACATAGCATCTGAATGTACTACCTGGTCGAGATATCTGAAAGTTTTGCCTCTTGCTTCTCTGATGTACAAGGATGCATCAATATCCCTTTTCCTTTATTTCTATCAGGAGTACTATCCTCAGCATTACTGCTCTTTTTTTCAGCTAATTCTTTTTCCCTTGTTGCTATATTAAGTGGAGAGATACAACCATTTCTGACCAACCTTTTCTGCCCAATATGTCTCAGAAAAGAAACACTTTTAGGAGACTGAGATACGCAATTTGAAGATTTTTCATGCAAATCACTTGGCACATCAAATGATTTCTCACCAAACATATCTGAACCAGCATATTTGCATGCACTTTCATCTAGCTTCTCTTTGCCCTTACTGAACCTGTTCGATGTCTGAAAAGAATCAGAACAAGGGTACGAACGTTCATGATCAGTTTTTATTTCTACTCTTCTAAAACCATCAGCTAGAAAACCTTCTGAATCACCAAGCGGCGCATCCATTTTCACAAATCCGTTGTGCCCATTGCCTCGAATCACATTCAAAGCAGCGCCTTTTTCTGTGGAAGCAAACGACCTAGGAACTCCGATAGAAGCAGCCTTCCCTCTCTCCATATTCTCAGCGCCAGAAGAATGTCTGGAGTCAGGTTTAATGTGCCCCTTTCCAGCTGCTCTCCTGAACAAGTGGTGCTTCGAAGCACTCGAATTATCCGCCGACGAGTCACCAACGGAGTCGCCCCGGCGACCGAATTCAATGGCATTCACAATCCTTTTCGGAGGGCGCATCTGCAATCTCGGGTCCCGCCCGATCCCATTCGCTGCTCGCCCGCCGCTCCCAACCCGATTCGGGGATTTCATATCTAAAGACCCGGAACACCTCGAGGAACCAGGCGCTGGCGAGTCAAATTTCGCCTCAATTCCATTCCTACCACACTGCGCGTCCAATCTATCGGGTGTATCGGGCGCCTCAGCTGCTTGATGAACGTCCATATTCATATCCTCCATGATCTGACACCAAGACGTCCGGAATCAGCCGCAACGCCAAACAAGCAGCAAGCCCCCAAGGCAAAGACAGAACTAGCAGAAGACCTAGAAGCGAAACGTTCCCCCGATTTGCCGACGCGAAAATCGGAAGAAACCTACGTCGGATGCGCACGGGAAGCAGCGGGAAACACGAAAAGAAGACGAACTCACCCGTGCGATTGCCTCGAAGCGATAATCGCGAGGGCCGCCGCCGCCGCCGACGATCGGGGAGAAGGAATGGACGGAGACCGACTTACAGAGCCGCCGCCGCCGCCGCCGCCGCCGCCGAAGGTGGTGATGACAGACGAAGACGAAGAAGAGGAAGAAGAAGAGACTGTGAGGAACAAAGGGCATATGCGTACATCGCGGTTAAAAAAAATTAATTAAATTTCCCAAAATTGCTGAATCTTCCCTTTCAAATTATTCCAATCAAATTTTGATAAAAAAAAAGTTTTATTCCAATCAAATCTATTATTCTGTACAGTGGAAAAAATCGAAAAATTATTCTGTATAAAAAAATCAACTCAATTAACAAAAGAATATTTACGAAAAATTTAAATAAAACTTACGATTGGCAAAACAAAACCGTCGGAATTAATCGCGTAAATTCCACTAGAGGCCGTCCACTAATTTTGCAATCAGGTCACTGAATTTTGATTTTTAATCATACGATATATTATACTTTCGGATGTTTTGTTAGGATAGTGTCAATCCTTCGAGTATTGTTTTCGTAAATTTTTTTTCGTTTACCAATTGAGTTTCCTATCTTTGTCAATTTGATCAATCAAATTCTTTTATCGTGTACATCTGTTAATATCATGAATCGCCGACATACGTCGTTGCCGTGTGCGAAAAAATGGATAATGACACAAATGATCCTTGAACTTTGCTTTAATGTGCAATGTGGTCCATTAATTTTAGCTTAATGTGTAATGTAGTCCCTGGATTTTTTATACATGTTCAATTTAATCCCTAAATTATATGAAAATATTCAATGCTGTCATTTCATTAATTCAAGTTCATAAATAATATTGAACATTTTTCATATAGTTCAGGGACTAAATTGAATATGTACCAAAAGTTCATAGACCACATTACACATTTAACAAATTAAAAGTTTATGGACCAAATTGCACATTCGATCAAAGTTTATGAATTATTTGTGTCATTTTCCCGCGAAAATATTAACATATAGAGATATGGCATCATAGGCCTAGCCACTCGAGCTAGACACAGGCGGGCTTCCGCCCTCTCCTCCTCCTAAATATATGCTCAAACAAATTGATGAAAGGGTTGTCATGTGTCGCAAGTTCTTCGTGAGTGTCTTGATCCGGACTTATCCAAAGCGCATTGTCCATTGTCGTTTGGGTCGAGCGCGCGTCTACGGAGCCTAGGGTTATCTTAGACTTTTTGTAATTTTCTTATTTTTCGTCATATACTTAAATGGCACCATTTCAAGCACCTGTAATGTATTCTCGTGTTCAAATAAATGATGTCCGTAAAGCATTTTTTAGGGGTTCGACTACTCAACTCTCCAATTCCGATAGTCCCTTAATGTATGCGAACTTACAGATTAATGGCACAATCACATGGGCTATGGTTAATTCAGGTGCAACCCACAACTTTGTGGATGCAATTTATATATGGTGTTGTTATCTCAAACATTTGTAATGTCTAGTCGTGCTAGTATGGATGATATCTGTAAAGCTTTTTAGGGGTTTAACTAGTCAAATTCTCCTATGCAAATAGTCCTTTAATGTGAATTATATAAATCATTGATTGATACAATTGAGTAGCATATTTTCTTACTGACTCGTCTTAGTTCTTTGCTTTCTTACGAATGATCCTGCCAACTGTATGTGTGCCTTAGCATCGGAACATCTTGCGCTTGATTTTGCTGGCGTGCTACTCAAGACCGCAGAATAGTGCGCGCTGAACAGTCCTTTATATTTGCCAATGGCCCAAATCATTACATAATGCTCTGTTATAGCCAATTAAGTCCTGACCTGTTAAAAGGGTTGTAATGAAATCCTAATCCCACCTTTGATGATGATTTGGTTGCCTGAAAATGCCATATCCAAATTTTATCTTCACAAATTCAACTGTGATTGATAACAGTCCAAGAATGATATGTATCTGAATTTGGTTGATCATTGAATGGTGATCAGTATATCTAAAATCGACTTAGAACTAAGGCTTAGTTTGTTTCGTAGAAAATGTGACAATTTTGGAAAATGTATTTCGAGAAATCATTATTTTGGAAAATAATAATATTTTTTATTGTTTGGCTGAAATCTGAAAATGAATTGGAAAATATTTTCTATCGTTTGGTAAAGAAAATCTCATTTGATTTCTTAAATAGACATACATTATTCGAGTACTAGCGACTTATGCATGGGTGGTCAAGGTATTCGACATGAGCACTGGGGTCTCAAGCCCGAATCCCCAACTCCGGGGTACAAGCACGGCATAGGTCTTAGGTCCACCGGAACTGAGCTTGAGAATGCGGTGCTTTTGCTCGACTCCCTAGCGCCTCGGCCTGAGTCTACAGAGGCCGGGCCTTTAAGCGTCGAGGACGCGGCCCCATTGCCAAAGGCCCAGGAATGAGAGTCAGGGTTCATGTGTCTAAGCATAGAGTTTCTGGTCCAAGCACTGATACCTAATTATATTTTAGAAAATGATTTCTGATTTTTTAAAGAGGAAATCGTTTTCCTAAATTTAAACTTTGGTAGAAAAACCTCTTCTATTGACTAGGAAAATATTTTCTGTTGACTCATTTTCTTAAGTGATCCAAACACCAGAAAATAAAGAAAATGTTTTCCGCGAAATAAATGGAGCCTAAAACTACAATTGTATGATTCCATTTTCCTTTCAATCAAAATTAGCATAATCAAGATTAGAATGCTTTAATGATTAGAAGGACCACTCAAGAAAAAAGGGTTATTATCACCAAAAATTCAAAACTAGTATATATGTGCCACATTTATTCTAAATTAAATCGTATCATAAAAAATCTCAAACTGGTACACCAGTGCCACATTTACCCAAAACTAATTTTCGCATTGCAAAAATTCTCTAACTGATACATTATGTTTTCATTTACCCCAAACTAATTGTCATGTCATAAAAACCCTCAAATTGGTATCTATGACAAATCTATTAAATTTATAGCTAAATTGGCGATTTTAGTTTATTTCCGAAACGTGAGGGAGCTCTTAAGGAAAAATTAGCTGATTTTAACAATTTCCCAAATTCAGATTCATTCTCTTCAAATCTGTCTTCCCAAACGACGTTGGTTAGAAGACCCATTTATATTGAATTTCCACGTTGGATCTGATTAAACTAGCAAATATCACCCAGAGGGGGTGAATATGTGATTTGAATGGTAATTGATCAATTTTAATGTGGAAATAATTGATCTTAGGTAATGTCTGAACAATGTTCAAATTTTAATCAGACTTTGAATGGAAACAAATAAATGTGCAATAAAAGGAGTTTTAGGGAAGAGAAAATATGCACACAAATGTATAGTAGTTCGGCTTAGATCAAGCCTACGTCCACTCTCCCACGCTGACAGCCCACTGATTGGATTTCACTAGATGATCGATCAAAAGATTACAAGTTATGAGTGATATTCAGATGGATCACTCTATCTCTCTTACAACAAGTCTCTTAAGATCACAGATTTTAGCTTAGGAAAGACGAGTAAAAACTAGTAAGAGTTTACCCATACTTTGGAATAGATAATTTTGGATTTTGTCTCCCTTCTTCTGCTCTTCGACAATTTATCTCCTTTTATACTCATTCACTTCCAAACTAGCCCTTGGATAGTCTTCAAAGGATCATCTTCCAATCTTCTCCTTAAACAGATTTGTATAAGACGGATTGAGTAGCCGTTGAGTGACAAAATATAAATCCCGCTAATTCTGATTGCCCATACAATAAGAACTTTGGTTTCCATAAGTAGAGCTTCTTCATTTGGAAATAAACTTGTCGTGGGATTGATTGTCAATCAATTAAGGATATCCCGCAATATTAATGTTCCTTGCAAAATAGCCTTTTAAGATCAAATCAATCAAGACTTTCCATTTGTGAAACCCAAGTCAGATTACTAGCCGTTGCGTTCATTCTGAGTTAGCAATAAAGTCTGGATAAGGTCTGATTCTTGACTTCCATTCAGAATTAAAGTCAGGGTGGGTTGTCCTTTCGTTTCCAATTATAGATTGAAATTCTTCAACTGCTGTATACAAAGTCTGAACTTTGTTTGTTGCTATGTAGACCTTAGACTTTTCCTTCTGATCATCGTAAAGTCTAGACATCTAGAAAGTGACTTCTTGAACTTAGAAAAATTTCAAAAGTATTTGTCAGACTTACAATAACTCTTAGATAGTTTTGTCAACTTCAAAATATATAAGGAGGTTTTCTCAACAGGATCTACATCAGACTTTGATCATGTGATTTGCTTGCCACATGTATTTCCACGTTAGTAACATAATAGGGATATTGAATGGTAGCTAACGAAGCGTAGATTTGTAACAAGTGTACCGGTTTAGAAATTTTTTGTAGAAAAAAAATTAGTTTTGAGTAAATGTGAAATGAGCGTACCAATTTGAGATTTTTGGTAGTATTAACCCTTGAAAAGTGAGGTATGTTATGTTAGAATATATATTAAATTGGCCTTTGTTGAAATGTTTAAGTTTTTTAGGTTTGACATTTTAGCATGGCATTAGAATCACATTCTGCCTCAGTTTATTTCGCTTGTGCATTCACCTCGCAAATTCCATGTGCTATTCTTAATCCAGCTTGCATGTGAGAGGAGGTATTGAAATATCCTACATCATTTGACTATAAGGTTTATATACTCTTTATATACATGTGATTTTCTCCGGTTATGAATTTAAGCAAAATTTCACATGATATCAGAATAAGAGGTCATGAATTTAAATCTTTCAAAGCTCCTCATTTGCCTTACCTCCCCATTATATATTTCCACGCCCTAGTTCTTGGTCAAGGTTTTGGAAAAGGACATACAATTGTCATAACTTTCATACAGCGTTTGTTTAAGCGCCATAACTTTTTTTTATTGCGTACTTGAATATCATAACTTTCGTATGGATCTGAGCGTCATAACCTTTTTAAAATGTTCACCACAAGTGCCCCACCACATAGAATTTTCGACACTTGGGTGAACTTTTTTTGAAAGTTATAACACTCAAATAATCGATTGAGAGTTGTGACATTTAAGTGAACGTTGTTTAGAAGTCATGACACTTAAGTGATCGAAGAAAAAGTTATGATACTCAAGTGAGTGCCGTACAAAATTACGTTTGAATTTTCTAATATTTTTGTCCTACA